AGAGCGTAAATGAAGACATTCAGATACGGCGGAAATGAAAGGGTGTACACTTCCGCCCGACGTATTGGCTCCTATATCTCGCTTGGACTTCAATTTAAGCCCTAATATAATCCAACCGCCTCTATAGTTCAGTGGTTACCGATTTATTTGATAAAACTCAGCTTTTCAGTGAATTTACAGAGATTACTTATTTGACAATATCGATCGGTTCTAGGAATGCAGTTAAGATTTCACTGTACATGAGTTAGAGGTTAGTTAAAGTACTCGGAGATGCTTTCGACGTCATGACCCAATTTCTAAGAATAAAAAAGTATATCGCTACTCTGAACTAACCTACCTCTAGATAAATAAAAGTACTTAAATATCCTTCCTAACTAAATATATATTTTACAACAAGATTGATCGAGACCATCTTAATATAATTTATCAAACATGAAATAGATCCATCAAACAGAAAAAAACCACCGACAATAATAAGATTTTCCAGATATTTCCCGTTCGCTTACAATTTAAAAGAAAAACGAAGCGTCTTCGCGGTTTTCCTCTTCAGAACTCAAAAAAACGGAGAGTAGTGTTTAATTAATTTTTTGTTTTCAAAAGCTTTTCAGCCCTGGACCTCGCATTGCTTCATTAAAAGTGGAAAACGCGTCCTTAGATAAAATATTAATATTGCTGTACAGAGGGTAGAGATGCCTTTTTTTTTTTAATATAATACAATTTACTCAGTACTTCATCTAAACCAATATTATATAAACTGTTTATTAACATAAAGTATAAAGAGTAACGCTAACGCGTTTGATATGAATGTTGGCTCAATTTTGTATATTCTTTTTGTGTGTTTAAATTGTGACTGACATTTTCAGTTTTAAATAAAAATATTTACATAGTTTGTTATTTTGATTCTTTTCCTTATTACGTGATTTTTTATTCAAATGACGTGTATGCCTTTTACAAAATTGAGTTAATAATAATATTTCACCCGTTTCTTAGAAAACCACAATTTACTTTAATTTGTTTGAATTCTTTTGGATTTGTTAGGAAGGTCTTATTTATAAACATTTTAAACAATTCTGAATTCGAAAACACATTAATTTTGTATCGCCTTCGTTTCCAATGAAAAACAGAGCCTCGAAAGCTTCTCAGGTATATTTTAGAGTAAATTATAAAATCTGTTTTCTGAATTAGTGCTTCAGCACAACGAATATATTTTCTTGGGTCAGTAAAACGTGATCAAACAGACTCCGTAAACCGAGCGACGACCGTAAATCGAGAGAAGAAAATACAATAGAAAAGAAGAACTTACGTCTTGGAATAAAATAAAATCAGTAAAAAGTTTCGAGCGTTTCGAGTTATAAGTATTATTAATCGTAAAGAACTACAATATCCATAAACGTTACAATAAAATAAAAGAAATTATTTTAAAGTGAATTTTATGTAAAATCCACTCGCCATCGGGCTTCTGTGTGAACTGATCTGAAATTTAAATTAAACCTATACAAATGATGTTTTTTATTCATTTACCAGGCGTGCTGGATAACTTTTCTGTTTTATATGGATGAGGAATGAGATGGGTGGTGGGTGGCCGGAGAATACGTGTGAAAGGAATGACGGTACGATTATTGCGTACATTTAATTTCTAATAATACGTTGATTCCGGTTTCACCGACAGCGGACGCGTAATAACGATTTCCTATATCTTCTTCCGGAACTAGGTTCGAGTTTAGTTATTAATTCCGTGAAGACTGTATGTGTGATATGACAGCATTTTAGCAAAAGTACAGATGCGTGTACCAGCAATCACTGCCTAGAAAGTCAGTAAATTGGTTACGCTACTTATGGTTTTAGTCAAAAGTGAAATGTTCAAAACAATGTTAACGACGTGTTTGTGTAAACGACGACAATGTCCTAATAACATCGGACTGCCGAACCCGAACAATGGCTAATCTTCATGTTAAATGAGACTCTACTGTCAAATCAGCCATAACAAAAACGTTTTTGCAATTTGCCAAATCAGCTTCCGATGCGTACAGAAATGTGCGTCATATCTCCTACAAATTACGTGTCACAATCGTTTGATTTCAAATAAGTTTGAGTCGGGCTCGACGAGAATTCCTTCCGCTTGAAATGATATCGGAATGGACAAGAGATGCGGGCGAGTTAAGGCTACCATCTCTTTAGAGGAAATTATGACCGGGAAAATAAACGTTAATGTTTCATTGACACGAGCTTCAAAGAATGAAAAGGAGTAAAATTGGGTCAATTTGATTAACGTCTATACTCCTAATTTAAATATAATATAAATAATGATTTATTTACAACGAAACAGGGACGATTAAGAATATTTAGGTTCTCGTAAAAAAGGACCTAAGGCGTGTATATTTATTTTTGGGGATAATCAATTTAAATTAGTTCACAATATAATAAGATAAAATATATTTAAATAAAACATTTTAACGGTTCAAAACGCGATATATTAGTTGAACTATTGACAGTATTTAGATAAAATATAATCTCTAAAAAGGCAAAGGATGTGGTCACCTCGTTCCGTTCAAAGTGCCTCAGCGCCGCTCAGCTGAAAAACGGTCTATAGCGTTAAATCATCTCGTTACACTACACTTGCTACGGCTCGTCTCAATTTTTTGACACAAACATCTATGGTCGGGCTTGATTGAGCGAGAAACCCATTCTTCTTTTCTTGCCATATGCGATTCATAAGTTATTTAAGATTATATGAAACTTATTAATATGACTCTTTAATTTTATCTTTTCCGATACATTCTGATGGTAGGTATATTTGCAAATGGAAACGCCATTCTTGAGGATCAGTACATAAATTAATACGGCAAGGCCGTTCTAAGAATCGGAAGAAGGTAGAAACGTAATATATTAGGATTTTTTACATTTACAAGAAGCAGGCCAGCGGCAAGACTTGTCTGTGGGTTATAAATTACGGTAATTTAAAATTACGAGGAAAAAGCTGCCCCAGGTGGCTGTGCTCTTTCATGGAGGCAAATTATTTTATTATTATAGCGTCACCATAAAACCGCAAGCGTAAATACGCCACTGTCGTCGTAAACACTCGGAGGAAATGCAACGTAAGTGTTTTTAAGAAAAGTATCCGTAAAAGCAATACGCAAACATCTACATACAAAATCAGATCATTGATTATTCTCACTCAAAAACGCGCGTCCAAATTATACAGTTATAATCATATTAATATCGCATAATTATTTCAACACGACTTTCATCTTAAGAAGATGAAATTTCTGAATACAAAAGCCTCCTACATTAATTTGAGGAATAATCAGTTGTAAATGGTGTTTATTCCGATTGAAAGTTACAAAGGAAACGGCTCTACGTTTCGATGTTGCTATTAAAATATCATTAAGGAGAAACAATTCATTTCAACCGTAAATTAAATCAATAAACTTCCTACGATATTACAATCATTTCATAGAACAAAGACCGACGGAGCGCCGCAACTATGAGTTCTAGAAACTCTTTTGCTTGCGATTTTGTGAGATATTTTTTTGTCTATTCTACTCGTTTATAAAAATAACAACGTCATAAAAATGACAAAAGTTAAAGAAAACCTTTTTTTCTCTTATTTTTGTTTCATGATATACATAACGGAGGTCACCAATATGCTCAGGTCCACCATATAGTCAGATAGCATATCGTCAGTGCGCCATCCGACGCACGCGACGCGCTGGTTTGAAAGCAAGTCAGTCAAGAGTTCACGTGCAATCATGGAAACTTTTCGTGAGATCACAGTGACATGACTTGACAGATTGTCAACTTTGACAATAGACGTGACATACCGCTGAGATTATTATACCCAACTCTAGAGTGGAGGGAATTACCGAATCACTAAAATAATAACTCTCCGATATAAATAATTATATGTATGTCGGAGTCTTATTCCTCAATAAAATATATAATAATACAACGTGCAATTGAATTTAATCTATTAGTGAGTGTCAACTAAACTCATAGTAAGGGTACTCTGTCTATTTTTTAATTTTAACTAATTATAAACATGATTTTAATAGTTATCCTGTGCATTCAGTTTATTACTTGAAAATTACGTTTAACGCAATAATAGTTCCCAAGCACTTGTGACTAATACCAAACTACTAATATAACTACGCGTATGGACAATAGACAATGCTTTGTAGGAAATATTTTCCCTCTTGCATCTCTTACGGAACCCGATACGAGAAACTTATAGCTACAGCTAGTATTATATATTAATGAAAAAGCTGGATATCTTTCTCGTTAAACGAACAGAGTACCGCGGTCTACCACAGCTCACCAAATCTTATGTGACATAACCCGGAAATATGTCAGCAATTAAGGTCTTTGTAAAGTAAGACGTATCGAAGAGGTAAGAGATTTAAGAAGAATGGCGATCGACGTTTGTGAATTAGCAGTCTTGACACTTGTCGGTGACAGATAGCACCGTATTCTCCCTAACAGTACTCTACTAACTCGTAATCTAGTTATTTGTGCAAGATCAGCTCTACTTAAGCGCATTAATGGAGTGAGTACATTAAATCTACAATATTCTCGCATACTTAATGCCTTGACCCTCGTCAAAATTTCAACGCTTCTAAAATATGCTTTGAATAAACAGAAAATAAAATTTAATATAGGTGGACCCGAGTAAAACTGAGAGAGCACACTAGTTTGTTTCTATTTGTAATTGTCATTAATGTAAGTTCAATACGGGGAATAAACAGTAGGCGTTCAAGTTTGTTAAAGTTTTGTACAAGCGGTTGACGAAGGATGCCGATAGTTTTTTTCCGAAGTCTATGCTTCGGTTGGGCCTATTCAATACAACAATATTTCAAAATCAATCCTGAGGTAAAGGAAAAATACTCTTTGTTTTTTTATATAGAACCTTAACATATTGGATTATTCGTGTACTCCGTCTGACAGACATCACACCAGTCAAAATTTTTAACCGGATTTTAAAGTCGTATTTTTACGTTTCGCTCATGATAAGTCTGACTCCCTACAACTTTCAGCCAGTTTTCCGTCGCCTAGTTGTGTTGTACGGCTACGCGCAGGCGGTGACAGATTGCGCGACCTTCGTCCTGTCGTGCTTGTGCTGCCAGTGCTGGGAGCCCATGCCGCTGTCGCATTCTTCGGCCGGATGCACGTTCCGCGCTGATATTGATGTGAGTGCTTATGTTATTTACAAACGACTTTAAGAGCTTTCTAAGTATATACTAAAACATATAAAATGGATATACGCACAGCCATAGTTTTATAATACGATATATTGTGGCTACTAAATATAAATACACATAAGGCTATTGTTTACGACTAATATTGACAAGTGATTACTACTTTAATTTCACGATGACAACGCTATCGACATGACCTTCGTAAAAATCGAATATTTTTTATGATACAGTCAGGCACGGTTCACTTAATAGTTGGTGAAATAAAACAGCCATGAAACATCTAAACAAGATGCGCTATCGACCTGTTTTGGGCTTTGGATATTCGAAATATAATGTGCTAGAATGGGAATACAAAATGTCCACCGATCCGTTTGTCTTCGACGGCATCGCGTAAAACCCGGGTGTACTATTCCGATACGGTCACAGTTTGACGTATTCCGTTGAACTACACGGATGTAAATCAAAGTGTGTAATGACGAGTGTTGGAAGCCGTTAATCTCCCGATACGAGCTCAATTTATAACCACCTCGGCAACTCTGAATGTCTAGCTTTCAAATGTAATAAAAGTAGTAGTAGATTAAAAACTAACCTCTCTCAGTGCGTTATAGACCAATTATTATATATATCGATGTCTTACTCGAAGGTTCTCTAAGAAAACCTTTTCATCTATGTAAATGTTTGTTGCATGCTCTTCATTCACGTCCTAACTAAATATATTACTAATTAAATTTAAACTTCAACCGCACTTGTGGATTGTTTGATAGTTAGATATGAGTTATATTTTAAGTTTTCCCTAGAAGAAAATTACGCGATGAAATTAACGGAGGGTAGGTGGAGCCAAGTTTATTATACTATGAGCTGCGCCGCGAGCTGTTGGGTAAGATGTGGGTAGTTTATTTTCCTTTTCCACCCTCTTCCTTTCACCTTTGCGTTGTCTTAAAAATGTTTCGAGGTGGATTTAATATTTCTGTCATTATATACGTTTAGGTTCCTTAGTTTAGTACCCAGTTACATCGGCGGACTCTACGCGTCAGCGCTCTACATTCTGAGTAACTCAGACCACACTCCAATACTGAGTCGGCAAATAGATGATAAGCGCATCCGTCAGCTGCAATTTGACCCTTATTTTGTGATTACAGGTTTCTGTAATTTGGTACAGCCCTTTAATTTTGTATTTTTAGCCACCTCTGAATGAAAAGGTGGAAATTGGAAGAGGCGATGGAGAACCGGTCAAGCCGCAGCATTTAGTGATAGACTTTACCCCCGGAAGAGATGACACACCGGAACTACAGCAGAAGGTCTGCAAATTTTGGAACTTTGTGGACCGATCGCCGGAGTTGGACGAATTTCTGGAACAACCTGTAAGTCTTCTGTCTTTGATAGATACGCCAATGATGTTTTAAATGGCTATGTTAACGTACATGATCAATATTAATTGAATGTATATTTGGATTATTAGACAATATTATAATTATAAATTATATCTGATAAAGTCGCATTTAAAAAAAAAGCAAATTTGGATATTCGAGCTGTTGTATTAGAAAACGATTCCAAAAAAGTGCAATTTAGTCACAATTGTAAAAGAAGCCGAGATGAAAGCCTTGCGAAAAGTAGTAGTAATAGTAATTCATGATGTGATATGTGACATTTCCACAAACTTTACGAGTACATTTGTTCCAACAATTACTTATTCATTCATTCATTTCCAATTAACACAGCCGACTAAAACCGATAACTGTTAATTTAGCAAAGCGCGCAAATGGATTTGCACTCGAATCGTTACTGAAATGAAACAAATTATTTGCAACATTTAGCCCGTTTCATTACGATATTGCGTTTTAGATTTCCAACATGGCGCGTTTTGAAAACATTTTATCGAGCTTTGAATTTTGAGGGCACGCGACGACAATTTGTTTAATTCTGAACTAATTTATATTATGCTCAGTTAGAGTGATTTCGCCTTTTCTATGGAGTAGATGTGTTCTGCCGGATTGACCGAACGGTAGTAGTGTACGGCTTATTAGCAATAGGACATGAGTTCGGTGTCCAACGGGCCAACCTGTTTCTAGAACTCAACTTATAATATATCTCATAGCTGATGTTGAACTTCGCCTGGAAAAACTGGATATTATTATCTGTTGGGTCACCGATCGAAGACCGGGTAATCAGTCTCACATTTGCAGATAATAGTTACATCCAAGACTGGATATTAAATGGACGATAAAAGTAGTGAAATATCGTCGTTATGATCACAGACCGTATGACATGAATTGTCGCTTCACGGGTTTATAGTTTATGTCATAAGAAAATCAATTTCAGTTTAGAACAAACGACTCCAATACTCGTAGCGGTGTCACCAGCAAGGATTCCCAAAGCGGACGAATAGCCACGATTTACCCATCAAACGACTTCCCCGCAATACATTCATTGAAGACCTTAAACAAAAATGGTATAAACTTAAATATTGCGTACCTGTATATTTCGAAAATATTGCCAAAAATCATGAGTACCACAGTATTCGAAATTCTGAACCTTCATGAGCTCTAGTTTGAGTCACGCCTGCGTCATTTATACTTATATATCTATACTAATATATAAAGCTGAATGGTTTGTTTGTTTGTTTGAACGCGCTAATATTAGAGACTAAGGGTTCGAATTGAAAATGTGAAAAAAAAAACGGGAATTTATTCATCTCTCTGCGTTTCCCATTCGTACGCTGCGCGGTTCAAGACGCCCAAAAAATATGTATGAAAGAATGATTCCTCTTTAAATTATTTGAAAAAAATTCCTCGACACTATATGTCTATCTTTTCAGATTAACTTGCAAGAACGACGGGCCGCGAGCGACGGGACGCGACCCACGTCGTGGGTATCAGCTTAAATTTATAAAATGAAGTATAGGCTTACAAAGAACAAAGAACAAACCCAAAATAACTATTCCACGCGGACGAAGTCGCTGACGCAACTAGTATATTATATATATACACCTCGATACTTTGATCTTATATTGATAACATTTCTTAAGACAATAACCAAAATCTTGTTTTCAGGAGTGACAAAAACAGACGGGACCCGAGTGACTTAATAGGTTTTTACGTAATTTTATATCTGTGGGTTTGATAATTTATCATCAACGTATAAAATAAACGGTTTCAGAAGGATAACAGTATGAATTAATCGTAAAAGGAAAATTAATTGTTTGGGTTTTGTTAAATACCCAAGAATAAGATCAAAGGTCAATTACACCGTACGATACGATTTCTTTACTTTGTGGGATACGATTTTACTTTATGAATGTATTACATGAAATTGTCCTTTTTTGTAGTTTTCTAATTTGCATGTCCTAACTACGTACTTACATGGCAATTTGGACCTATTACTTAAAACGTCGCTGTGCAAATATTTTATCTCGTATAGAACGTTTGTTATAATTACTAATTTTGAAGTATTATTTATTTTTTATATGTTCATTGTGCAAAACGGTATATGTCTCAATCATTTTTTATGCCGATCCGATTAATAAAACAGATTAATCGTACGCTATAAATACAAGTATATTGGAGCGGATAAATAGTGTGTACTATCGTGTATTTGCGTACAATTCATCATGAAGTGGTGTATAGTGCTCATATTGTTTTGCGGAGTTAGTTCATTGGGTACGTAATAATTATTATCTGTGTCTTATTAATAACACTTTATGTAATACTTAACTGCAGATGTTGGAATTTACTTATAGTTGTATTTGAAATGTATATTCAAAGTTTATATGTGTATTAAGTACGACTTTATTCGAACCGTAGACGCAAGACGCTTCCGCTGCGACTACAAATACTTCGCAAATGCTGAAGGTTACCTAAAGTTGCACAGGATCCCGGCCACATGGAGGGACGCGAGGCTCAGGTGTCAACTAGAAGGTTAGTAGCCTTTTAAGAGTTCTCCATTTTATACGCCATAATATTGTAATTTCCCTATGATCAACTTAGAAATTATAAGTACTATTAAATTTATTAAGGTTCAAACCCCGGCAATTTTTTTTCTATTGGCGACACCAATAAAAGGCCGGGTGATCACTCCACATTCGTTACCCGACGTGGAAAAAGTGGGAATTCACTTTACTTGTTTATGTCATACCGTAAAATTCTTGTTTAATACTTTTCAAGAGATAAAATTGACATAATTAACCGCGCTAAAATTTGATAAAATTGCAGAGATAAAATTGACCTCCGTTATCATTTTAAGAATAGTGCACATTTTAAGATGTCTTATGTTTTTTTTTTTTAATTTTTTAAATTTGAATGTAGTTTACACTAATTGTATGAAGAGCCTCTTAACTTAAAGCAAGTATTTAATTACAGGTGCAATAATCGCCTCTCCCCTCAATGCCAACTTAAGATCGGCGATGGTGTCCATGATGGACGTGACTCCAAAACTCAAGTGTGGCGTGTTTCTGGGCATACACGCTATCTTCTCCAAGGGAGACTTTTTCTCGGCTGAAGGCAAGCTAAACACAATTAACTATTCTACGTTTAAACTGAATATTTAATTTATTGAATTGACAACTAATGATTTGTCAAGCAGCAGCAGCAGCAGCAGCAGAGATCCAAGCAGCATTTGTTAACAAATGCTGCTTGGATCTCTATACAATCAATAAAAATAACAAATACTCTGATACTTTGAAATAAATCGTTTGAAAGCGATAACGCAAAGGGCTGTCATATGCCTTGCTCGTTTGAGCGTGTAAACTCAATATATTTTGAAATTAAGGTTACGTTTGGGAAAAGGACACACAATTCGAAGACTGACATGAATACACAAGTCAAGGGGGGGATATATTATAGGTATTTCACTTTTATGTTTCCAGGTGTACCCCTCTCCCGTATCCCTCACAACTGGACCGAAGGCGAGCCCGACAACTTTAACAACTCCGAGAGCTGTCTCCTAATGACACAGGATGGAGAATTCGCCGATGTCAATTGCGGAGACACGTACCCTTACTTCTGCTTCAAGAAATCAACTCCATCGTTGGTAATGAACGGATGCGGCACCACGGATCCTGGTAAGAAAACGATTTGGTCCCTCGCCCGCAACACTAATCGAAAAGTATATTACCAATAATATTGATAAACGTAATGAAGTAAATCTAATACTTGTCTAAACGCGTCGGTCAAATTGAAAGTACAAATTCAAAACTGATTAACAGAATATCAACTGGACACACGCACTGGCAGTTGCTACAAGTTCCACACCACTCCACGCGTCTGGACGAGGGCCTACATGGCGTGCGCTGCCGAAGGGGGACACCTGGCAATCATCAACAGCGAAACGGAAGCGCAGGTACCTTAGCCTTGTGCTAGAATCAACGTAGAGTTTATTCGTTGCGAATATTTTTCCATCCCTATATTTTTAGTTACTTCCATATCTGTTATACACTTGATTCAGGTCGCAAAGGAGATATTCGCAAAATACCCAGGCGGAAAGATGCTCGGCCATTTCTGGAAGGATGTCGCGTTCATCGGTTTCCACGACTGGGGAGAACACTCAGACTGGATCACTCTTGACGGTAAGATAGAAAAATTGCTTGTAATGACTAGTAGAGGAAACGAAGACGTTTGTTTCCCAAGATTGTTGTTTATGGATGCTCGTTTACCAGGTAAAACGCTAACCGAGGCCGGTTACAATAAGTTCTCCGGCGGAGAGCCCAACAACGCCACGACGGGCGAGTACTGCGGGGCGATGTACCGGAACGGCATGTTCGACGACCTCTGGTGCGAGAACGGCTACGCGTTTCTCTGCGAAAAGGACCCGGGAAGCTTGGCGTGCGACGAGGACAACGATCTATATTGATTCATTTTTAACTGTCGGCCAATAAAAAGAAAACACTACGTAAAATCCAAAACGGTGGATTAATTATTTCTTTTAATTGTTTATTTGCTTCAAATGCTAAACAGAACAGTGACGATTTGTCAATGGTACATGATCTTCATGTCTTGGCAGTCGAGTTTCACCCGATGGTCGAATTTTTGCATTTCGGATTGTATAGTCGTATCCGTCTCGTCCGATAAGTCGTACCCGGAATGCGAGCACGGACAGCAGCCGTTGCAGTCGCAGAACGCGCAGCGCGCCTTCACCGCGTCCCATGCGCCTAAACATTTTAGATTATGAAAGAGAGTTGAGTTGTCGTTAAATGTAATAAATATTCGAGAGTGCTAACTCATGTCAGACTTAATTTTGTCGTTATTGTATTTTGTACGTAAAGAACTGGACCAACTGGGCAACTATGGGCCACTCTGCTGCAATCTAGTCACATTAAATTACTAGCGTTAATGGTATTATGAAGAAGTCCACAAAAGTCTGCAAATCCCAGCCGAGAAGTGAATAGACGGAAGTCACCGAGAAAGTGGGAGAAGTGCGAGTTTGCGCCAACTTATAATTAACATTGAAAAGGCGTAGAGTTACTTTGAAAACGACACGACTCGAGACTAATTGATATTTGAGTTGGAACGGGAGCCGCCTTCAATATTCCCTCCGTGATCCTGTGGACTGGGAACTTCGGAAAACTTGTTTTCTTCACTAGTGCTAACTTGGCTAAGTGTAATACGATTAGTGGTTAAAGAACGTGGCTATACGCCCGGCAGGTGAAAAGAAATGTATATTATTACTAAATGTCCTGTCTCTACTGCGATCGATTGTGAGGATGGGTGAAAACCCAGAAAATAGATGGTGGTAACATTTTAAACCTTTAAGCGTATTACTTTGAAACCTTTAAGGAAATGTTTCCTAGTAGGCCGTACGTTAGTAGCTGAAACTTATATGTAATCTCAGTGCACTCAAGAATAACAACTTTTTACCAAGGTTTTTCGCAAGCTCAGCAAGTTTTAAGTAAGTCGTGTCTACTGTATCGTCTACGGGAGCTTGGCAAATCCTCACCACCTCCGGTTGGGGGATGTAACCCCTCTCTTTGACTGTCACTCGGCGGGTGGTAGCGAACAGTGGACAGGGACTATTTGGATATACTTTCTATAAAAATAAAAGCCTTTTTTAATATTATTATTTTCAGGGCACAACTTCTGCCGAAACCTTTTCGGCATTCCTCGCAACGTTGGGAGCGCTACGTCATAATAAACACATAAATAACTTGCCTCATAATTATACTGTTATAGCGATTCTCGGAATATAGTTATATTAAGTTAGTGATATAATTAATATTCAAAGCTCGCTGCCTCAGACAACACACGAGCTAACTTGGGACTCCAACTTCTTAATGATATAGTTTGCGCTTAGGAATGCTATAATTAAGCCCATTTAGAAGTCCGTTGGCATTAAATGGACAGACTTGTTCAAAAAGTTGAGTTTTAAAACGTCTCTCGCAAAGCCTTATTAACTTTGGAAGATTTTCACGTTTGCACTGTCTTGAAATCGTTGAATAAATTGCCGCCACCAATACCGACTACTTTTATTTCCTTCGAGACTACGGCGGAGCCAATTACCGTCGGCCACCGATGGAAGCACTCGGCCTTCGGCTTCCTCTCCAGCAGCAGCTCAGCTGAAGTGTTCTGCACGTCGCCTTTCCACTCCCGTCTGCGGCTTTTGCATAGAGGCTTGCACCTAGTGTAACATGCATCAACCGTTTCTGTTGCAGTGGTACGCACCAAATATTGGGTCAACAAAAAGCCCACAGAGGTTTGCCTATTCTTTTTTAAATAAACAAAACGAGTTTTATCTTTCCTTAGCTAAAATGCTAATTACTGTTTTAGTTCAAAATTATTAGAGTTTGTTTAGTTTGAACAATATAACTTTTAGCAACTGTTGTTTTCGTCCGTTTAATAATCCCCATTTTTTGGCCTCCCCTTTGTTTGCTGTCTCTAACCTATATGTAATAGAAGTGTGTCCAGCTACGTCTGCTTGGCTGAGGCCAATTTTGAGACCTTTGAGACTCCTGACCTATATTTTGTAATAATAATACGTACTTGCACAAATGGTTTGTTTTCTTAGGATCGTGTTTGATTTTTGGTAACTGTAGCATTTGGTCTATATTTCATTATACCATTTTGAAAATTACAGATCAACGTGAACGTCTTATTGGTGTCTCCATGGTGACAGATAAATTATTTTTAAACTTTTTACACTACTCTAGACAGGCCAGTTCTCGCCAAGAATCGCAGTGTAGAGTATATTTTAATAAAAAACCCATAGGTAGATAATTTTCACGTTGCAACATAGTGAACGATTAACTACCGTATTATGACATTTATTTATTTATTTCCAGGTCATCAGCATTCCTCCTTTACCCGACCGAAACAATTTATCCTGCTTCTCTGAGATTTGACCGCGCTCGTGGTTAACGGAATGCCGAGAAAAGCCTTTATAAGGCTTATGAATTAAAGAAAAATATATCTCAACTAAATTTAGGTCTGTACCATAAGCATTAATTCGGATAAAAAGATACACATTTACCCATAAATTAGCTACCAAATCCTTGTTCCGCTTTAGCAAAACCTTATTTAAATAAATTGTTTTGTGGCACTCACAATTTATATTACGAAAGTTACGGCAACAGATGCCGAGCGGCCGGTCACCAACCTACGTAGTTTCGCTTGGTGCTTTTTATGAGCAGATAACTCTGAACGGAACGAGGATATTTTCGATACTTGCAGGTCCTTTTGCTGCACTGCGTTTCGTTTACATGAATATTCTATAATATTAGTGTTTGGGGTGAGTCGATCCGAAGATGAGCTGCATGTCGGGGATGGCTCGTTCTATGCTTCGCAGAAGGGCTCTTGGAGTAATAGTGGGTAAGAGCTATGGCGGAGTCCATTTCCCACGAGGAGGTTAATAAATAAATTTCTTAAAAGAAATAAGTCATTTGGAATAACTAGATATAAGTGACAAAAAATAATTGTTTATGATTTTTGTCAGAATTCTTAAATGCATAACTTTTTGAATAGTTATCTAATTTAATTTTGTTTTTTTTTTCAGAATAAAAAGGGGCAAAATAAATAATCGTTTTATGGATAGTCGCGGCACGACTACTGAGTGACGGCAGAGCGCTCTAGCAAAGTGTCAAGTTAAATGTGATATATTTGTTGACTTGATTGACGAACAACAGTGACAATATTTTTATGGTTTTCGCTTTAAATTCAGCGTATAATCATCGATCAATTAGCACAACTCAGTTACCCGATCTCCCCTGGCCTAAGAATATAATTGTATGATCTCTTTAAAGGTGCCTTTAATTTCCAGTAAACGATGTTTACTCACACATAATTTTACTTTATTTAATAATATAATATTACGTGTTTATCAACTTTTTGTACTCTTTCTTTGTGATTGTTGTTTCTTGAAGGCAATATAAAAATAATTGCATTAAATGTGTTAATTAAAGTTTAAAATATAATAAAGAAGAAAATTACATCTACAATAGCAAAAAAGTAACTAAGAAACTCTAAATTAAAATCAACGTTGAACATAATGAGATTTACGCGCATTGTTTTATGACGCGTTTACGTTTTTTGCAATAGGTGAGCGTTTGTGAGTGGCCTGGGGGCTCCGTGTACCTGTAAGAGAATTGTTTACAATATGAAAGGCAATAGAAAAGATAGAAGTCTGATTAGAGCACTGGGACTAACTAACGCCTTAAGACCTAATACTAACCGCGGATGTGCCGAGTCCCACTCTTCGAGTTTGACGCACATCTTCTTAAGCGTTTCATGCTTCTTATTTCTTCTTTTCTCATCTCCACTGAACACTATAGACAAACAAAGAAAAACAAGTTTTACCCCAATTAAATAGTTGGCAGATATATCTTCCGTCTGTTTATTGTTAACTGTTGTTGGACTGAGAAAGCCGATTTTTTGTGGTCACAACAAATAGCATGCCGGCTGAGTTTGTTGCAAAATTGATTCCTTTATATGGTCTTAAATATGGCTACGTTTAATTCTTTACAAGTAAGTTTCTGCTACGAAATAGGCTTGCTACGCGGTCTACGTTTCGTAGCACGTAGCACCTCTACAGTCTCTTGAGACACGCTACAGAAGTCAAGTATGCGGAGAGCAAGAAAAAATTTAAATTTTAACTTTTTTGAATGATCTTGTTTTAAATGTGCAAGTTACGCCGTGGTCAATTTAAATAGATTTTTTTATTTAAAATAAAGCTATCACATTTAAATAATAATGTTTAAACTAAATATAATAAACTATAACTACCATATTATGTTCGTAGCTGTCATTTTAAAGGCGAATCGTGTATAAGTTTCGAAGGCGCTTCGTTACAATAAAATAAATCGTGTAATCAACGCGCATATGAGACCAGCTGCCGCCGTAGCTTAGTTGCATTAAGTTGTAATGTAATGTCTTATGCACGAGAGGTACTACATTAATTTCGGGGAAATATGTGGCATAAATAATATTATCCCTTGTAATTTAGATTCCGCGAATACTGTCCGTGCAGTTGTACAGTGACTATGTACATTCTTAAATAAATGTTATAATAAGTAAATAATTATAGCATTTAAATACATGCAACAATTACCTTTTTCTTGTGTGCGAGCTATAGAATCGTCTCTGGAATATTCCGGAATGTAGAGGGAGCAGTACGACCGGGGCAATTTCATCTCAAACGCGCGGTCTATCAGACCTGTGTGCGATTCGACAATTTTATTAAAGACTAGATTCGCGCTTCCACTGTGCGGTCGAAACTGCCTCCTACATTTAACATAAGGAATATAGTAAGAATTTTTCCTCTTAACTACGTAACGGGTTTTAGATTACTTAATTTTAGCAAATAGAAGTGATGCGCACTATTAGTTTCACGCCAGTTTTTTTGAGAAAAACAAAAATATGTATTAATCATTTTAAGACTTCAAATAGTTCAAAGTAAAAACGATATTTTTTTTAAGCGCCTACTACAGATTCCATAGATCATTATTGTAAATGGTATTTACTATTACGAGAACTGTAACCCGGTTAGGAGTTACCTTTTTCTTCGACTAGTTCCAGCATAGAGACGGCTGTCTTTTGTTTGTCGTCTTCTGTAATTCCAGTGTAAATTCTCTCCGGTATATAGCTACTACTAGGGGTGGAAGAACTATTTCCGAAGACGTTGTAATCCTAGTATTAATAAAACTTATATAACTTCACTCAATTGGTTCTGGCATTTTTAAAAGCTTTGCATTGACAAAGATGCTCCCAAGTTTAAACGCTCATAAAAACAAACCTCTTGAATAGTGCACTTGTCGGTGTATGTATAAAAGAATTTTTCCTTTTAAATAGAATCCATCTTTTAAAATTTACTCAGAACCACTTTTTTTTATAGTAACCATAGCCAATCCAATAAAGAGACGATAAGAGTAACAAAATATTTATTAATATAACGATATCTATGCTAATATTATAAAAAGGAAAGATTTGTATTTGTGTATGTAATGATTGTGTAATGAATGATGTAATGATAAACTCAAAAAGTACTGGACCTATTTTAATAATTCTTCTTACTAAAATCAACGGAAGGCGTAAAAAAATTAGCCGTAAAATGTCTTTCTTCGCATACGCTGCGAAAAGTATTAATGATAGGACAAAAAAATGTTTGACAATATTATAGAATATATCAATATCTACAAAAAAACATCGTTCATAGCAATATGCCTAGAAGAAAAAGGTCGCAGCTATCTAAGAATAGTTTCCTAACGAGATTAATAAAAGTTCGTCGTATTGGAGAGTCCTCTTCCTAAAATGATCGTCTGGAAAGTGTTAAATTGTACGCGTCCCCATCGCGAGTCAACGAATCTATCGTCGAATGTTCAGGTTCGTCTTGCAGAACAAAATGCAAGATCGTCGCAGCGACTTGAAGGAAATAGAGCTAGGAATTCGCGAACGCGTGCATGGGACATTAACACTAAACGCTCGCAGGTTGTTAACAATTAGGAGGCGCAATGCATTTTTTTTCCAATTTAGTGATTCATCGTCGTTTTAATTAGCATGCTTATAATTTAAATATTTGTACCTATTTATGTCTACCCGTGCGAAGCCGGGACAGGGCCGCTAGTATAGTATAATTGAATATAACGAGCAATGCGTTTTGTGAAATTTACGTGGATAAAATGTATGAAAACATGCAATATAAATTGCTTTTAAGAGAAACGTATTACTACTTGAAAATAGTATCAAATAATGTGTCACTTTTAAGACAAAAGAGAAACACCGTTACTCTCAGCGAGAGAAGCCAATATACATACAGGACTCGTCGACAAGTTCTGAAGATCTGGATGCTGCGATATAAAATCCCAGAATGCGACGCACTTCCTCTGTACAAAATCGGTATCGATAGCATCGTCTGGTGTGAAGTCGAGTACGATACGCTGAGAGGCCAGAGGCTCGCCACAACTGCTGTCCGAGAAGAAGTCCCCTGAATCCGAAGAAACCGGAGCAGTCGCTTGCACCGAGTGTAAACTCTCTGTTGATTGGTCGTTCATGTTAACTGGCTTCTCTTAATACCCTGGGAATGAACTAAGGTTAATTCTAAAAAAATGGAAAGAATTTCTTTGTTCACTTGATAATAAGAATGACAATGTCAAACATAGTTGAAGTTTGATTATAGTTGAAAGGAAGGACAGGTCTGTATTAACAAAAAACTAAAGTTATTTTATTATAAATAAAATATTAAGTCGTTGTACGTCTTTTCAATATAATACGTTAATTTTTTTTTAACATAACTTCAATTTAATGCAAATCTTAAAGTAATTATTAATCGGATTTACGCTTAAGTCAACTTTACTTAATCAATATGAGCAAAAGGAGACAGGGCGTGAGAAATCCAAAGGACATTGAAAATATTCCTTGCAACGCTCAGGGCAGCATAGCGTCCACTTCTACATGCAATAGTCCAAAACGAATTGAAATTAAAGAACACAGAAAAGACAATTCTCTGTACAGTGCTATTACTTCTGAATGTTTTGACAGTATTTTAGAAAATACAAGAGGATACGAATCGTTTGAACGTACACATAGATCAAATTTCACAGAATCAAACTGCGCGGATATTGTGAAGTCACAGCGAATTATCATAGATTTTACAGAAAATAATAAGGAGGACGGAGGTGAAGTGATGAAGAAATGCTTAGATTTTTGGGCGTTTGTCGATCAACACCCTCAGTTAGAAAAGTTTATTGTGAAACCAGAAGCATTACCACCGAATCGCTTTCTACCATTTTTGAATTAGGTGCAGTAGAGTAGAAGACTACTCGGTTATTTCTAATTACATGGCTAATACAAAAAGTATAACAAAGCGTCGGTCCTATTACTGGATAAACATCAGCGTTCAGTGGTCGAGGCATCTTAGCAATTTCAGAAAAAACTCTTTATAGTTGCATTTTCTCCATACTATGGAAAACTGAAAGCATTTCCAACTCGATAAAACTACTTTTTTATGCTAAAAAACACCGACTGAACATGAAATCCTCATTGCTATTCCTATCGCAAGTACAATGACACTTGGAGAAAATCTTTAACAATTCTCCAGCTCATTTTAAATCTCAAACGCCGATTTGCCGGCGTCAAGGGAAAATAACACTAAACGGAAACTATTAGGGTTGAATTTTAGATTACGTAAAAGAGTCGTATCTCAATGGCACTGGTTAATAGCGTCTAAAATATGCAGAAGCTATCTTCCTTCTACATTGGTACGTGACGTGTGCTCTAAATGAACTGAAAGTGTGAACTATCATGTACAGTCATTTTAGGTCGGCTCGCGATGTGTTCTTGCATCGTTCGACTCACACATACATCGACAGTGCATCATAGGCCAACAGCGCATCGTGTTCAAGTGAACCCCAAAGACTTGTCTCTGTTTTTTGATTTAAAAAATTTGTCAAAAAAACAAATCCTGTCGTAATAATTGTACATCATTCTATGTATAAAGCTGGCGCTAAGGGGATCTTTTGAACGCAAATTGATCTAATAATAATCACTTCGCTCTGGTGAAACAGATGGCGCTAGCAAATTTGACTTTCCTTTTTAGGACAGCCTCCATCTTTGGTTCTCCCGTGACCGCGGCTGTTAGGTCGTAGTTAACTTAAATACACTGAATATGTTAACAACCTATTGGCTTTATTTAAATGACTTTGGTCTATGTTGTGTGCGGTATTACTCGCGTCGACTACAGATGCAAGTTGAACTTTCCAGAAAATCCCTCAGCGGTAATCTCGCGCCCGCGATAAAATATGAAATCAATTTGCCTCGCACATATTGCTCTTATAGCATCGATTTATTGGGGCTACGTTCGTCGCATGTTAATAGACATCATGGGATGGTTTCTCAGAGCTTGTTCATCTAACGGCAGCTAATGAATTTAGGTAGATCCCCATTGGCATTAAACTATTTCCTAGCAAAGTAAAATTTTTCAAAAAGTCTTTAAAATATTTAATGGGTGGTAGGAATATAAAAATTTCGTCTGGACCACTAGCCGTAACCGTAGCCGTGCAGGTGGAAACGCCGTGAAGTTTAATCGCGTGGGCATTTTATATTTCTAGTAAACCCTACGTTTGGCATAAAAAGATACGTGTTTTAACCGGCTGATAAATTGTCACTTTGCTACAATTTCATTTTGGAGAACAAAGATGAAAATTACAGACCACCGACTTTCAACGAAACTGGTTCAGCCGTTAAGACGTAAAAAGGTGTTCTACATCAATACGTTTCTTACAAAATCAGTACAAATTCAAACGAGTAATTAATTAGCAATCAAAAAACCTTTTTAAATGTTAATCATAATATAAAATATCGTATCGACGCCGTGTTCGCAATTTTTAAATGAAAGCGTTTATCCCAACAGAGGTACGATTATCCAGGTGGCGAGGCGCTAGTCACGGACCGTTTCTTGATTGGTTCCCGAAGGATTTATGCGGCCCCACTCGAAAACAAAGCTTTAACGCCGATTTCGTGATCGTAAACATTTCTAAAATATTTTCCAGGAGTGGACGTACCCATTTTTAATTTCAATTTATAAAAATACTAGCTCTATCAGCGACTTCGTCCGCGACCAATAGTTTTTTGGTCATCAAAATTTGTCTTGTAAACCTCTTGTTCAACTCTATAAATTTAAGCTATAACTCGTGACGTCGTCCGCGCCCCGTCGTTCTCGCACGTTAATCTTAAGAAATAGACATGTACGTCCGCAAACATTTTGCTAGATCATTTAAAGAAAAATCATTAGTTCATATATATTTTTTTCGTAAAACCGTATGAGGATGAATAACAGTATCAGTAGTTGTCTTCTGACAAACTAAATGTTGTAGCTCGAATCGCGTCGAATTTATAACGAGTTAAATTTCGTAAATCTGAAGCAGAGGCTGAAAAAGTAAACCATCTGAAATGCTTCAATACTATTGTGTTAACAAGGAAACACTTCGCTTCTGACATGTTTGCAAAAAACCCTTAATAGGTTAAACCGAGTACATTACCCATAGGGCAATACGCACTTTTGGAAACTCACTTTGTTTTATTGAAAACGCTTCGGTTTCAAGCACTCGGGTAAATTCGTTAGCAAATTGCCAAAACTAATTGAAGCTTTCCCATGAACTGCGCACTTTGCGAGTCGAAAGTGGCTAAAATGGCGTATTACTGCTCATATGAATACATAATATGGTTTGTTATAATATACATTGATATTTCTTTTAACTAAAATGTTGCCTAAAGGGTTACCCTTTGCCACCTAATAAATAAAGATGCGCTTTGGATTTTACGTAACTAACGTTCACCCTCGTGTATGCAATGAAGCCAAATCGATCTCATTTACTCCAACCCAAACTCCGAACTCTCAGATAAGGAAAGGAAACAAACTTGCCGACAAATAATGAGATAATTAAAACAACATTAGCGCTGTACTTTGACAAATAAGATTGTCTTTTAAGGTATTGGTTGATATTAAATTATCTTGTAAATTGCTTTACATAAATGTATTTTTGTTCTCATATTTTGTAGCCTATTGATCGACCAACGTGAGCCCAATCGATATTGATGTCAAATAAAACTGCTCCAACTTAAGGAATTCACTTAAAACATCATAATATATAATATAGTGTTAGCACGGGAAGTATTTGTAAGCGCTTTTGAATTTTAATTGATGTGACATCTTAACGTAGGATTAAGTTCAGGTCGCCAACTGGCCCGATGCCAGGTTTCCTTTCCTTGGTCCTATACAATTTAAATAGTGACCAGCATTAAAGGAAAACATTTCAACGCATTGATACGATTTGCTTGTAACTACTGCCCTGTTTAGTATTTAAAAAATGCATAGATATCGTTCGATTTCATTTCAAACTTAACCCGTGAATATTCAGATACGTTATACAAGGCAAACTCATAGTTTATCATACTGAGGCCTTTCCACGAAGTGGGGCGCGAGACTTACTTCCAAAATATAATATAATTTATATAATTCTCGTAAATGAATTCAAATACAGTCTAAGTGGTGGAAGTTTTATAGTCAGAGGGCGGGGCAAATGGCATTTGTAATAAACTTCACTTTATGAAATCGATGTAATCTTAACCTTATTCCGAAAAACCAAATAAAATAGGGTAGTTAGAGCAGATTTTTCGTATAAATTATTGGGAATTGCCCCTTAATTGCCATTGCGCTAAAACATATTGCAACACTCTAACGAAACCTTTTCGCCATTATTGCGCCCGACGACCGAACTTTTTGCTCGATATTGCTTCGCCTTAAATATCGATGAAAATTGTGATCGCGGGAAACATAATGGTACCAGTAATGTATCAGCAAATTTCTGGAAATTTTCAAAATGTGAACAATCGCAATAGAGACGTAAAGCGAGTACGAAACCAATTTAAATGAAACCAACGTATCACCGACGCATCGGTTTAATTTAAATGAATTCGTGTGGATTTTGTGTTGCGAGTGAAATAAACTTTAATTTTCCCAATTGCACTGGTGCTTGCGGCTCACACGACGTCAGGTCGCCCTCGCTCGGAAAGCTGGTCCAAGTATAATAGTAATAAGTGTAACAAAATCAAGTATTAAGTTAAGTATATGAAACAAATAATCAAACTAATAGAAAATCCTTTCTTGTGTTAAATTCGTCATATATAATACGTTGTTTTGAGTTTTAAATAAACAAGGGCTTAATATGAATCCATTTTTCTGCATCATATACGAGCATGTCATGGTCAAAATTATTTCAATCGCGTTTAGTTGAATCTAAGGTTATGACTTTCTTACTTTTTTCTTTACATTTCTTACGTCGGTAAAACATGCTTTGTTACATTTGGGGACATGCCTAATAGAACATTCCGCAGCGAGCTTAAAAGAGTAACCGTAACTTCCCATGCTTTAGACGCACCGGCATGTCACATCGCAGTGTCATCAGTCAGGATTGCCCGGATCCGTTTACCGGATATTTCCGTGTCCGGTCATATCCGGATCTTATGATTTATTATTTTTTCTCTTTTTCTCCGGCCCCAGCGCCATTCTGATTTACGATAATTACGTTGAAACCTTTTCCTTTCGCTCATTATTGTTATTAATGGAATTTCCTTTCGACCCCACTCTACCAAAAGACATACCGCTCTTGTGTGTTTCCGTACTACGTAACACCATTGTACGGGAAACCTTAACTTGGTGTCTTCGTTCTTACTGTAATTAATAAAATTATCATACCACCATATTAGTGTTACATACAAAACAACACTTTTTGACCAACTGAGTTCATAAAAGTATTTCGGAAGTGAAATATTCTTTTCCTTTTGACATGTTTGGCTAAATGGCCCAAAATTAATTAAATTATTTTATTTACAAAATGTTGTATTCGTGTTTTGATCTGTTACATGCTTTACTTTTAAAATTTCTGTTCTCTGTTACTTCACTTTATGCTTACGTCTAGGTTTGATTTTGAAATTTTGCAATATCACTGTACAAGGGTAAAATTAAAGTTATACTCCATCTCAACGGCAGATGGGCTCTGCGATGTGATTCAATCGAATCTTAAGCATCTGCCTTAATGTGTTAAGTACTTTCGGCCTATTATATGATTATTAAATTGCAAAGTGCCCCACGCACATTAACAGATACCTTTTTAGGAGGGAAGTGAAATTAATTGTAACGAAGGGTTTTTACTACATCAAAGAATAATAAATTTAGAGGGTAATTTTTTAGGATTTTGTACCCAAAGGGTAAAACGGAGAAGGCTAAAACATTAACGTTTT